ATGCTTCTTTTTGAGGCTTTTCAGAATGATAGTTATTTGAAATCGCACAAGGTTCTCCGGATAAAAAAGGGAAGGAAGGAGGAGGAGAGCATTCAAGCAATTACAATGAGTCGCAAAAAAGAAAGTTGTGCAGAGTATGTAAACGTTTGTATAGAGGAAAGGAAGGGGATTATGAAGTTTACATTAATGAAATTCACCCTCAAAAAATTCAGTTCTGATTTAGAAGCTCGATTAAGCGTCAGATATTTTGCCTAGGAATTATGCTTAAAAGGAAAAGGTAGAAATCTTCACTCCTTTACTTGCTTCACAATTTCTTCTTTTATATGCATAGAAGCATATGATACCCCATTGAGCACTCGAATCAAGAAAAACTGGCATTTGAGTCAAGCTCCTCCAAGCATGTTTGAGATTACTCTCAAAATTGTGCCAAATTCAGTTCTTTTGTTTCCCCCATCCTACTAGGGACCAGTTTTCGCATAAAGTACATAGAACCGCTAAGGCCACTCCGACGTTACTCGGGCAGCGCGTAAAACGCTAACAAATATGCACAACGCCCTGCCTGCTTACAAACTAGACGCTTGAGATGCGGCCATTCGTTGTGCATTGACGCGTCGTTTAAACTTATTCTTTAACTGTCAAGTTTCTTCGAGTTCAAGATTTTCCGATTAGCTTTCATCTAACTCCTAATTCATCTGTCCGCCTTAATAATCGGAATCCACAGTGATATCAGTGATTTGCAGGGAAATGAGCCTTGTCTTAAGTGGTTTAAAAGCGTCGCATCTATTTGATTCAGCACATCTATTCAAAATATGTAGTGTTGCTTCTTGTTCAGTGTCTTTGCAAGGTGATTTTTGCAAACATTTTCATGGTGTAAAGATAGCAATAATTCTGCCATTTCATAGCTTCTTCATCCGTTTGTCAATCTTCGCTTTCGCGTAGGGATTACTGTTCTTCTCAGAAAAATCTATCGAACGTACCATCAAAAGAAACGCTACTTCGAGTAGATTGGCTGTTGGAACATGTTGTGAGTTTCCATTCTCACACCTTTTGCTTTCTTATTTTTACTGCCGTCTTCAGACCCCTGGCATCCTGAAAACGAGGTTGAAACCATTTTTCGACATTTGCCTCGATGATGTATCGTTCGAGGATAAGCTTTACAACTACAAATTGTCTCGCAAATCTCAGTTACTCACTCACATCGCTAAAATACGACTCTATTATCGATATCGATCGCCCTTTAACAAAGTTGAGGTATGTTTATATCTGAGGCACATTCTAATGGTTAATTATACACTGATGTTTCAGAGGATTGGTTCTTGCATTTATGAAAACGAAGATGTGATTGTTTTGTTGTGGCGGTTGAGTACATTGGAATCTAACTTTTGGACATATTTCCCCTCGTTTATAACCAAAAAAGAGGTAAGAGCTTCTATTTCATCTTAATTGAAATCTCTTTTCTTTTTGAAGGTGGTAAGAGGTTGGCTTTCCACTTTTATTGAATTAAGATCTCAACATTTGATTTCTCGAAGTTTGCCCTGAATGCTATTTGAGAAAAGTTTGCTTGAGCTATTTGACACATCAAGTTTTTTCACTTCCCACGGTATGTTACCGAATATGATTCGCAACCAGCATGGCAACTAAGCTCTCAAAACTTGAGCAGAATCTGACATTTTTAGTCTAGGTCAGATAAAGTGGAAAGCGTCAAGTCACCTTGCCGATAGTTTCTTGATTTAACCTTCTTACATAAATTGCGTTTCTTTCAGCCTAAGGTAATCACAGCAGAAGGAGCTCTAGATATTCATGTAAATAATGAAGGCTTTATCTATAAAATAGTGAATAGAAAAGTGAGTACTGTGCTACCTAATTTCAAACTTTTTGTGAAGTTTATCACTTCATCGTCATTCAGATAACCGCTTCTGATCGCGAAGGGGCTAAAGTAATGGAAGCGATCAAGGCAGAGCAGGAGGCAATCCGGATCAAAGCTGAAGAGAAGGAGTTGCGTCGGGCGGCGGAACAGTTAGTTGAAGAGGAGAAACGGCGAGGAACGCTTTAGCATTTTGCTTGTTTGGTGTTGCAAGTTGCGTAGAGTTTTCAAGTATGATCTTACTCTCTAGTTTGTTCATTAACTTTGTTAGAGGCGGTGCGGTTTGCGCCTTTAAAATTATTATATAAATACTGATCATTAGTGTTGTTTCTGTTGAACAACTATATGGGTTTAGTCCAGTTCTATCTATAACCTTTTGGTCAACTCGTTCATTTGATGTACTTTATTGAATGCAAGTTGCGGTTGACCTCGTGAGAAGAGTCGAATGCTGCGGCGTTTCGCGCCTTGTACTCTGCGAGCCGCAGCAGGATGTTCGTACTATCGTGCGTTTTCGACCGACATCGACCATTCTCAGGAGAAGCCAGCACCTTTCCAACTAGAGCATGTTCAAGCTCGAGTGGCTGAAACTGTAGGTATTTGTCTTAATTGGGCCCTGCATTTTCATTTACTTCTCTTCAGGTTCCGCTCATGTTCAAGCAGAGGCTCGATTATACATTCTATCGAAAAGATGTTTTTTGTGATGATCAGATATTTGGACTCAAGAAATAGTGAGCTTTTCTTTATTTTCAAATGCTCAGAGACAGTTTTCTTCTACACCTTTGGTCTTACTATCCCATACGCAAATTGTTTGAAATTTTGGTGTGTAGCAACTTCAGAGCTTAGTAGTTGCCCGTGTTGAGCTGGCGCCTCAATGATTATAAATCTCTTAGTGAACTCGTTCCTATTTTTTTGCACTAGTAATCGTGTGGCACAGTTCATTTTACGTTGTGTACTTTTAAACACCTCTAATAGTGCCGTCAGAAGGGTTTCCGAGCGTTTTCATGTTGTACATATGTTTTTTTAACATTTGCATAAGAAAATTTCTGCCAAAAACTCAAATATTTAGTGGTCTGGAACAACTGATGCAACACTTTGGGACCATAAGTGTTTTGGCTCAGGTAACGCTGCCACATGTACACATGGAGGTATCCGCTACCTAATTCACTCGTATATCTCTTGCGTATGAACATCATTTAATTTAGACAGTAAGCGTCGTACCCGTGATCGGAGATGGAACTGTTCGATGTCGATGGCGTGTAAAATATGTGTCATTTCCGAGACTTTTAATGAATCCGCGTCTATTGCGATTCGAGTATCGCATGAAGAATGTGGGTTGGTTTATACTATACGATTACTTAATCATATTATCTAGTATCCTGTATTAGCGCGGTCTGGTTTAGCTTAGCTGGTTCGATGGCTATTCTGTTCTAACTGTCGACGGTAATGGTTTGGTTTTCAGGATCACTTTACAAAAGGTAGGCTTTGGTTTTCTGTTGTTTTCTCTATTCGCTTTCTGACTTTTAGCTGAGAGGATTCTTCATGATTTTCTTCTCTTTTGCAACCTTTCCCTGCAAAATAACTTTTTAACCTTGGATTCATGTGAATCAACAACATTCAGACGCAACGAGACGATGGAAAGCTGCTTGACGAGAAAAGCGCTAAGGATAAGTTGGCAGAAAAAATAGCTGTGTTTCGGCCGGGACCGGCAACAACGAATTTTGTACCTTATCAACGGCATCTAGATGATTCAGGCGAGAAATGAGCTCAGTTATGTTATCGAAAGCCTCCTGTTCTCTCGCAAGAATCTCTTTGTTGCTTGCGCAATTTTATATGTTAAAAGAAGGGTCAAGTCTGTCACAGCTGGCTGAGTCTAACATTTTTTTTTACTTTCGAAGTATTGCCTATTCATCCCGTGACAGGGAAGCCTATAGGCATTATTATCAATTAGGATCTTAGACCATAAGTTGCTTTCGACTGCCTACAAGTAGTCTTTTTCGCGAATACCGATAGAGAATATTACGTGAAATAGATGCCGGGTTATACTTCTCATCCATTTCCGTCTAGGGTCATAACTGCAAATGCTGAAGTAGATATTATATAGGTTAGATAGACTGTTAATTGTATAGATTGTTATTATATGTTTCACTATGTATGGTTTGCAAATACAACTTTAATCTATGTTTCCCTCTGTCTCACTGGTGTAATCCACTTGCTGTAGTACTTTTAACCTATTCCGGGCTAGCGTTAACGATACATAAGTTGAGCTTAGGGATCTGAGAATTAAGCGATGCTGTCTCGTCATTCCATCCGTTATGCACATGCGGCTGCCTCTGCTCGCGCTCAGGCTAGCAAGGTTCGTATAATTCCATACAAAGTATTTGTTGTCCAGCAGTTATTCACGCAGATACCTTTGAAATTTAGGCCGAACAGATCACTAAGTTACCTAATGGGTTAACAGTCGCTTCGGTGGATCGCCAAGGCCCCATTAGTCAGCTGGTAAGTCCAGAGTTATTGAAAGTCTTTAAGTCTAAAAACGCGCCGTGACATAGGTTCCTGTTGTATTTAAGACATTGTTTAGGTTCTTCTTTTCCGCGCAGGATCTCGTTACGAAGAAGCTAACCAGCATGGACTTGTTCACCATCTGCGTAACTCCGTTGGCACAGACTCTCCCCTCTATCCTGGGCTCAGCCTTATATGGAGCTCTGCCGTTTGTGGAGGACGAGTGGTATGTTAAATGATCTTTGCTGGCTTAACTTTTCGATCTTGATTCCAAACGTCCTGTTTTTAGAATGCTTTCTCAACACGTGATGTCTACGGAGTATCGCTGGCACTACCTCGTGACGAGACATCTATTGGAATCTCGGTTCTTGGACACATTGCTCAACCAGCTTTCAAACCTTGGGATCTCGAGGATGTTATCCCCACCTTAAAGGTTGACAATCTCTATAAACAACCGTATGATGTTGCCTATGAAGATATACATCGTGCTGCATACCGAAACGGACCTTTGGGACGATCCGTTTACGCCTCCAAGGACAACATCGGAAAGTTCAACTACAAGACTTTTGTTGATTTTGCTGTGAGTTCTCTAGCTCTAACGTTATCCATGAATCGTGTTTCGTATTGAAGTGCTTACTCAGAGCAAGCACCTTACGGCTGGTAATGCGGTACTTTATGGGTTGAATACTGATCACAATCAAATGGTACTCTATGGTGAAACACATGCTCCCTTGAACAGTGGTCAGAAGGTTGAGGCTACTCCTAGCCTTTACAAGGTGTTGGCTGAATTTTTATTTTGATGCAATATCGCGATCATGCTATTTTGCTGCAATATAATGAAAAATTGGAATCATTTTTAGAACTTTACAACATTAGTTTAATTGCTGTT